ATATAATCTATTATCTATATTTGTCTGAACACTGTTTTGGATCTTTTTAAGAAGAACTCAACTAAACGATGATGCGGCAAAGCAAAACGACGGCAGGAAAGTAAGTGACATGTGGTGGGATCAACTAAGGGAAACGTATAAGACCAATAACTGTGAGTCAAGAACATGAGATTTAAAGGTGCAAATAGCTTTTTTATCACACACTTTAGTGATGAACAGCAGACGGGGTAAACCCCATACTCACGAGGATCTGCTGTTCAGTGGAGGAAACTGGTAACCTAAGCCGCGGAACTTCAAGTGGTAAATCACCTAAGGCCCCGATAGGTTAGGCGTGGTATTGAACTGGACGACAGCTGAAAGCTAATAACGAAGCTAGATAGAAAGTATCTCTTAGAGACGTGTAGATGAATGTGGACGCAACCAGCAAAATTAAATGGAAAAAATCACAACGTTTCATGACAGAATTAATCAATTAATCGGAAACTAGGTAAAACGTGATCACCTACCGAATTCATAACAATATTCCGCGGATCTTGTTTCAACAAGTCCCCCAGGATAAATGAGGCTTTAATCAGGCAGAGTTTTGACACACCGTAAGCGGTGGATGGCCAGCCTGCTTGTTCATGATCACCAACTTCTGCATGCCTGATTCAAAAAAAGAGTTGACAACAGAGAACTCAATGTTTGCAACTAACGCCCGTCAGATCCATTAAGTGTTTTGGTACCCTTTAGGTTCACCATAGTGTTCAATAGTAAGCATTTTTTATTGTTGTGATGCAATATCTTTGACAGCTCCGAGTTTTATATAGTAGATTTATTCATGCATTAAACAAATCAAACGTGAACTGGAAAGCTTGGAAGTACTGAGCAGCTGTCTCAATCTAATTAGGTTTCATCAGCCGTGCGAAACCCGATTGCGGATTGAAACCGGGACCTCACAGGTGAACACAAACATACTACTCACTCGACCGCCGGGTAGCTATTCAGATATTTTTGCATTTTTCTTCATTTTGACAATACAGCAGAACCCGGCTTTGTGCGCTTATTGTGAGCATCGCACCCCGCTCATCTCAGCACTAGGCCCCTGGGTTGTAATTGGACTGGAAACATTCCAACCCAACTGCTTGTTATATGAGAGCAAAGGAGTGGATTCAAGTAAAGGTGGGTTGTGCTATTTCCTGTACAAAGAAACTAAAAAACGGTTTCATTAGTTGCCTGGTTGTCGAGTGGGTAGTAGGTTTGACCACCAACCAAAGCGAACGCATAAAAATGCATGGATAACGGTTGCAAAAACCAAAACTGAAACTTTTGACCACGTAAACGTAATAGCAAAAGCTAATCTGTAAAATAACCGGATAGCCAATTACTGATTGCGGGTGGGATACCTCACACAACCAGAACATGCGACAACTCTTACTCCTTACACTACTAAATGCATGGCGATTGTATCGGAAACAAGGACAGACAAATTCATTTTTATAGAGCGAAAGCAAAATGTTAATGCCACAGAGGCATCACCATTTTACGTGCTGCAGGAAAGAAAGTTTGAAAACTGGTTGAGTTCATGGAAACTTTGAGAGGAGGATTTTTTCGAAGTTTTCCAGATCCCTTATGCACACAACATGAATCGTGGATTTATTCGGTCAATAACGTGACAAACTTCAATTTGGAACTAGTTCAAAGAAATAGAAGTTACAATAAAACGAGAATACTCTCCAAAAAAAGTAATCTGGATCACGTGTAACAATGTTTTTCGGTGTCAGTTTCAGTTGGAACAACCATTAACCATGCACTTTTGTGCACCGGTTTTTGTTGCTATCTTTTGGCTGCTACTTACTTTACTTTAATTTACTACGGCTGGCTCCCTAGAAAGGATAAGCCGGCTCCACAAATGTCCCTGATTGCCGCCGTGGAGGATTTGCTCATGAAGTTACTTGGGAATTTGGTACGAAAGACGCTCCCAGCGGCATTCAGCGTTCTTTCTATTTTGGGGGCGTACCTCTAACCTTTGTACAACCAAGTGCGAACTGCAAGCAGCGAGAATTAATCCCTCACCTCGGAAGTGAGGGGGTCAATCGGAGATAAAATTGGGAATTTCAATGGACTAATGTTGCAAAGAAATTGAGAAGACGCACGAACACCAATGTTTACGACATTCAGTCATATCACTCAGTGTCTCTAACCATCGACTACGATCGTCACGAGGTCCCCATCTAGGAAGCCTAAGGGGACCCATATTACCCAGATTTCTGGTTGGGGTTTTCATACCCTCATGTCAGGTCTTAGATTGACCACCCTTGGCTTTACTCCACTCGCCATCTGCCTCGGCGATCATCGCTCGCCGTAGCAACCTATTTGGTGACATGTGTAACACATGCCTCAACCAACGTAGTCTATGGAGGTCGACCACTTGCTCCAGTGGGCGACGGCAGTTACCCAAAACTCTGCGCCTGGCCTCAGTATTATTCGTCCAGCTGCCTCACCAGACTAGTGCAACACTGCGTACAAAGCGGTGTTCAAACATCGACAGTCTATTTTTATCGTGTTTTCTTAATGGGCAAGTTTCTGCGCCGTTTAACAGAACTGGTCGAACTACCGCGACATACACTCGACCCTTCACAGACAGCCGGATATCACGACGACGACACAGATTGGCCAATGCCAAGCAAGTTTTCTGTATGTGAACTGACACTTCATTCGTGATGCGTCCACCGGGTGAGATGTAGCTGCCCAGATAACAAAACTTATCCACTTACTCCTATACTTCCCCAGTTACAGTGACTCTAGGTGCTGGATCAATCCGATCCAGAAAAGCTTGCAACTTACCTGGATATTCACTTAGCAGCACAATGTCGTCGGCGCACTCCAGAACGAATAGCCTGCTACGTGGGAGTAAAACGATGCCACTATCCTTGCGCGAGGATAGGGCTGTTCCAATAATAAAAGTTATAACAAAGTTAAATAGAAAAGGAGAGAGAGGGTAACCCCGAAGAACACCACTTTTCGTGGCGAACTCGGGCTAAAAGGTGCCGTAAGCCCGGACTCGACTTCGGCTATTAGTATCAAGGGATAATAATTACGAAATAAACTTCTCGGGCACGCCCTTATGGGCAAGGCAGTGCCAGAGTTTAGAGCGGTCGAAAGAGATGGTGGGTTGACGAAAAGAATGTCGGTGCTCCAGAGTTTAGTGAAGAGTTAAAATGTGTTCAATGCAACCTCGATCAGGTCTAAAACAAACCTGATCCTCACGTGTGCACTGTTCACGTGCGGCAGACAATCGGTGTGTCAGCGATAAGTCTAGAGACGATGTTGATTAAACTAATTCCGCTGTAGTTTTCACAAGAGGATCTGTGACCTTTCCTGTAAATCAGTATGATGACCGATTTACACCATTCAGTTGCAACCTGTTCCCTCTCTCACACTGAACCCAGGCTGAACCTCCATCCTTGAAAACCGATGGAGACAACCCGTCTGGGCCGCAGGCCTTGTATTTTTTGAAATAATTTATTTCCCGGGAAACCTCCATTTCAGATATAGGACTGATGTCAATAGGGAGTATTTGCCCAGTCGAGGTGGAGGGTGATAGTTGAAATATCGATGGGGCCATTTGAACTGAGCCTTGAAGTGTTCAACCCATCGATTAAGACGGCGTTGCTAATGATGAATCAGTGTGCCATCGGGGCCCTCAATTTCCTCAGTTACACCTGTTTTTTTGGGTCCGCATTCCTAAGTAGACAGAAAAGATATCGACTGCTTGACAGGAACAATCTATGGTATGCGCAGAGTTGAAGTAAACGATCTCCGTTGTCCATCCGGTTAGCTGGGATTGCATATGTTCTACCAAGAAGTCTTTCTGATTCGTCCAGGTATCCCACCTGAGCGTTGAAGTCTCCGGCGACTACTACGACGTCCGTTGTTCGAGCACTTTGGAGTTATTGAGAAAGGTACTTGTAGAATTCATCATTCATTTCTGGAGAACTGCAATCGGTCAGTGCATACACCAATACGACGAATAAGCATCGTCACTTCGTTCTGTAGCTCTTGAACCGTGCTGAACCGTTGAGACGTTGGCATTCTGGTGGTATAGTGAGTTGAGCATAGATAAAATTGCTCTTAATGGTATGTCAGTCTTATGAACCTTGGGTAATCCGTAAAGGCGTGAAGTGGTTGACTAAGACACAGATGGCTCGTAGGAATTCTCGAACCAGAGCGCACAAGGCTTGCTAAATACAGCTTGCGAGATACATTTGAGTTTGTGAATATCATCAACCAAAGGAACGTAATGATAAAATGTTCTCCCTGGATGAAACGTCCTTGTTCACTAATGTACCACTAAGAGAAACCATCGATTTCTTTTTCGCTACGTTGACAACGAACAAATACAGATGGGAATACCAACGAAGAATCTGAAAGAGATACTACTGGGATGTACATTCAATGTTCAGTTTCTATTTGATGGAAAATTTTCCCGTCAAATAGACGGAAATGCCGTGGGCTCCCCATAAGTCCCACTGTTAGCAGATATTAGAATATATTAGAAATATATTTTATATATATATATATTATTATATTATATTATATTATATATATATATTAGAAAATACAACGTTGAAGCAAGAAAAGTAAATGAGTATATGCTGCCGCTACGTAGACGACATATCGAAAGGTAAGAACATGACAAGATTGCTCCAAATATTCAACGAAGATCTTGAATCGATTCAGTTTACATTGGAAAGAGAAGAAAACTACAAACTTGCCTTCCTAGATATGGCACTCCTCCGAAAAGATGATGGTTCCTTAGAGGGTTGGATATATAGAAAACTAACTGGGACGGAACAATATACAAACTTTTCCAACTTCGTCGCACTCAGACATAAAAGAAACCTGATTCAGTCTTACACCCCGAGCGCGCAAGATCTGCTCCGACGATGTCTTAAGTGAAGAACGCTCTCTGAGAAAACCGCCATGCTGAACGGTTCTTCGAGAGAAATTTTCGGGAAAGGTTCATTGGGCTCAAAAGAAATTTTCCAGATGCTATATCGAAGCTCTTGAACAGAAGTCTGGTGCGTGCAGTGAGGCGGATCACAATGCAGCTTGATTATCGTGTGTTCACAGGCTTGCTCTTCGTTTGAACCAGCCACAAAGATAATACCATCGTTGGTTCAGTTCTGCCTCATGGTTGAGAGCTTGAATTTGCGATTAGAACATATCCATCGACCAGAAGTTTTTAGCCATCGGTGTGTACGAGTTTGGACTCGCTCAGGATGGAGTGAGCGTGTCAGTGATCAGAAGGTAAGCAGTTGCGTGGTTTCGAATCGGAGTCAGATTAGTAGGCTTTGCTGGTTAGGATGCGCGTTGAGCATGCCCAGCTGTAATTTACCGCGCTGCAGCTTATTTATTGTAGCCAATCCGGATTGGAGGAAGCCACATGGAGGTCAAAAGATGACGGAGAGACGAGGCATGAAGAAAGGCACAGAGCGACTAGGTAGAGGAGGTGTCTTCCGTCTCCCAGGTTAGTGTCCAAAAGACTTCAACTGGTTGGTTGGAGACAGTGAAGGATACGGTAGCGGACGGACAGAAGTAGCGTTTNCGTTTTTGTCTTCATTTCTTATCAACTCAAAGTGCTTGAAAAAGTGTATGCACAATTAGTTTGCGCATTCTGTATGTTGACTAGAGAGGTACACTTTCATTGTTTTGCTCCGAATAGTTCCAATTCCTATCCATCTTGTACTTTATCACCTGCTCTGCACACATTGTGAGCTTCGCAGCAGTCAAATAAGTTTGTTTTAGTATATTTCACTATACGATGATGTGAGTTCTGAAAGAGTGACCTTGGTCGTTTGACTATGCCCAACACAGTTCATACACGGAACACACCAAGCTTGTTTGTATTCTTTTTATATATTGTTGAAATGGGATCAATGAGAACAGTGAGCAAAAGTAAGGATTTAAAGTCTTGCTATTCTAATGAAATCACGGAAAAACAGACAAACAAATGTTCGTAAAATAAACTCACTGAACAAAGTCATATGCCAGTGATCGTAATTCATCCATACTCATTGGGGAAGTGAACTTAGTATACAGAGCAGGACTGAGTTTCCGTAATGCATTTTGACCAAGTAAGCTCGATAAATGAACAACCCTGATTCTCGAAAAGTTAAATATTATGCATTACCGGGCATCATTTGCTAGAAGTGGAATAAATTCCTCGGTAAATTCCAATGTATCAAAAAAGTTTGTTTGCATCGTGACACGGACTTGCTCACCAAACGGTACGTTTGCGTCATCCTGTCATCAACCATTTAAAAAACTACACCCACCATATATGCGATGCCGGCATTATTTACCGCTACACCAATCCCCTTTGGATATTGAGAAGTAAGAAAATCGAGAAATCTGTGACGGCTCTTCGCATCTGTGATGTCCAACTGATGGAATTTGACAGCCAGTCCAAGATTGACCAGATCAGAACAGGCCTGACCCCCGCGCTCTACATCGCGTGCTACAAGATTAAAAAGATGATACGTACAAAAAAACTTACCGGTTAAATATACATCCCACACACCGGTAGAACCAAGAGTTTGAGCTAGTTTTGCAACGATTGCTTTTCCGATTCCTTTGTTCGCGCCGGTAACCTTTCAAAATAAGGTCGTGGGACGAATTCACTCACAAAAGCAGCTTTCATTCCAGTTCAAATGCAGTTCGCTGGGATCTGAAAAACATCAAAGAATGAAAATGTGCAAAGATCGAAGATACTTGTTCGATCTTGAACCTGAAAACGCATTAAGCACAGTTCAAAAGTGGAGCTGACATTATTATTTGCATGCTTTCACACCGTTAAGTCTCATGAAGCTTATTCCGTACAGCCTCTTTCGCAACGAATTAGCAACTATCGAAAGCTGCGTACCAGGCCGGACTGTTGCGTTGTACATCAGTTCGATACGGCCGTTATACAATATGGATATGACGGACATCGCACGATAGTTTTCACCAAGGCACGTAAAAGTGAACATTACTTGTGGTCAGGATTAAACCCCTCCGTTGAAGCAGACATCAGGAATTGATCAGTATATCAAAATCGTGATAAATTATGCATTACATTTGTTCATGGGAAGAGTTAGCTAATTGATATAATGGATCTATTTCAGCTAGCCCCCGAAGTACGGTGGCTAGACAATATAGTAAAATCGGCCACGTGAACTCAGTTGGATTACCGATTGCACACCAACCACGGAGTCAATGTGACAACTTATCAACAAAAATGTAATTAAACTGACGGATAGACACGCGCTGATGATAGAACTAAAAATTAAAATTCTGAAGCCCTGGTTCACAGCAAAGTTAGCAAGATGTTACGGAAATGTAACGCCACCTGGCACGTACCGTGCTAACTAGCGGCAGTACACAAGACTTAGAAAAGAAGTGATCGAAGTGTCGAGATCAGCCCGAAGTCAGTATGAAATAAAACTGGCAAGGGACATTAGAACACAACCCAAAAAATGTTATACCTACGTCCAATCTCAAGCTAGATCCCGAAAGGCCACAGGTTCGCTTATGCGTTTAGGGACAACAACCTTGGACATGGTCCAGGGTATCGCAAACACATTCAAGGACCACTTCCAAGCAAACTTCCGAGTAAGGACGGTTGTGAACAACTTCGGATACGAGGATTATGCAGTCTCATGCAGTCCTGGCTGGACCATAGAACACGACGAGGTCATATCTGTAATCTCCAAACTGAACCCGACGAAATCCGCCGACCCAGACAACCTGCACCCAGCAATTTTAAAACCGCTGGCACAGGCAATCGCCGAACCCTTGAGATCACTGTTGAATCAGTTGATGTCAACAAACAAACAAACAGGTTAGACAGAAGAAACAGTCGAAGTGCTACCTCGACTTCCAAAAGGCGTTCGACTCCGTTAACCACATACTCTTACTGCATAAATCTAGGGATACAGCAGCTCCAACCTAGGTATGTAACTGGATGGCCAATCTACTCCATAAACGCACATACCAGATAAAAATTAGATCCACGACCTCCCGCGAAGGAAAAGCGACAATTGGTGTGTCCCCAAAGGGTCAATAATAGGACCACTCCTCTTTCGTATATTTATCAACGACCTTGAATATGAGGTCGAAAACCCATGCCTCATCTACGTAGACGACGTCAAAATAGTTGGCGGCTCATCCAATCATCACCCCATAAAAGACGACTTCGACAGGCTTTCAGCATGGATGGTAAGGTGGGACCCACCTTTAAACGCAACCAAATGTTGTTTTTAGTAAGTGCCACTGACCCCCACCCTGCGGCTTATGCTCCTGAATTACGAACACATACTCCAAAATACAAGAGGCGTACTAAAGACCTTGGGATAACAGTCACATCCAGTTTTCCATCCATCGAACAATGCGCCGAAGCAGTCCACAAGGCCCAAACAACGCTGTTTACACTCAGAGCTGCAATACTCAGCAGAAAAGCTAATGTATTTATCCCTCTGTATAGGGTGCTCGTAAGACCTCCCCTAGAACACTGCATCCAAGCTTGGGCTCCCCATCGAGTAATAGACGTAGCCAGATTAGAAAAAGTGCAACGGGTAGCCACCAGAATGATTAGTACAACTAAAGGGCTCTCCTACGAGGACCGGCTTCGGCATCTAAATCTCTTCTTTATGCGTAGGAGACGTCTAAAAAAGGACCTGATTGAAGTCTTCAGATAAACGAAGAACGCTGATCTAGGTCTCAAATTACTGAGATCCATGAGAGAATTAAAGGGCCACGAATAACATCCAGAAACGAACAGAAGCAGGATAGATGTTAGGAAACATTTCTTCACTAATCGGGTGGTCAACTTCCATAATCGCCTTCCCGAAAGACTTGTTCAAGTAAACGCAATGCAAGCCTTTAAGGTGGAATTATATCGACTATGCATGGAGAGCTTTCCAGAGGTGGCCTAAACCATTATACAAATACACTACTTCTTTTCTTTTCTCCCCCACTCCTCACGCTTGATATAACATGGTGAGAATGCACAATATACACCCCCCGGAATGCGCATGCTTAGGTGTACGTAAGTCTCTCACCGACACGGTATTACCGAAAACAGGCGCGACAACTAATACATCCGACTCTTGCATCCTCCGAGGGTCGCGCAACCATCAACCATGCTGTAAGCCGGCCAAGTTACAACTAGATTCATCTGCAAACGAGGTCGAGCCAGAATCGGGACAACCATAAGGTCGAGGCCTCTACGTTCTGGAAAATTGGACTGGATTGGATTGGATACTTGCAACAATGTATGAACACAAATCTAATATGTTTGTTTTGAGTATGTGACAGGGAGAAACTCGTAAACGGATGCACTAGGCAATATGTTTTCTGTCAGTACATTGACAAAGAGGAAAAAGCACACATCAACCAAAAGGTGAGACAGGTACACGACTCTTACTCAAACGGAAAGGCAAGAAGACAATGATGTTGCATGATGGTATATACTGTATATAGCGATTAGAAGTTTATCCTATTATTCAATTTGGAGTGTACAACCGAATTATTGAACATAAATTGTAAAATATACATTTGGCATGGTAAATGTATAAATCAAAATGTATTGGTCACTGCAGTGACCAATTCCTATCAATCTCGACCAAGTATTTGAATCCACGATGAGAATTCCCATTAACGATCAAGCCCATCAATTATTAATTATAAAAGTAAAGGTTCAGACTGTCCTTCAGATGACCCACGGGTAGAATAAACGGATCATATCGGCGTTACACGGAACCAAGTGATTCTCAGGTTCGTACATGAACAACAGAAGGTCAGGTCAGGTCAGTTCAGTTCAGTTCAGTTCAGTTTGCACAGGACGATGTGTGGC